GATCTACTCACATCCATTCACATTTATATTCATTAAGTGTACAATTCTTGATAGGTTCAAGAGAGATTTTTCTCAATTATAATAATGATGAACATTGTTACAGTTAATGATGTGACACGGGCATGTGCAATAAATCAATCATATATTGTATCATAATTTTTTGTATATGCCTCTCATTATTGAATTCCTAATTTAGCACAGTCGTTTATATAGCGAGCAATGACTTAAGATAAATTGGAAGACTTAAGATAATCCGTATATAATTAAAGTCAATATCATTAAGTTGCGTGAAGCACATTCAATAGGCGTGCATCAATGATCGCCACAGATCATTAAGAAGATTTAATATCCTTTTCTGTAACCTTTGAACCAAGTTCTTAATGTACTATTTCTAAAGACAAGGCAAGAATTTTTCACAGGAATAATAATCAACGCTGTAAATAAATATACAAGTCTTACATTGCGGTTTCTCTTTGCTGCGAATAACTTAGCGCCTTACTAGCTTCAGCAACTCAATTGAACCTTCTTTATTCGTTCGAGAATGTACATTGATGATGCAGAATGGCAAGTACAAAACATGGTATTTTATTAGAGTCGCCATACCAGTCGGGACGAGCGCGAGTGCGCGTCCGAAAAACCGACGTCGAAAAAGAAACGCGCAAACTCGTTCAAGTCTTACAGCGAGCACAGTCCTTGGGCGGCGCCCAGTCGCGAAGGTAGGCCACACCGATGCGAAATACACTTGATTTACGTGCGAAAATAACCAATTAATTGGCGTAATCGGCGTGCGCGATGCGTCGTGATGATGTCGCATCGCCTCCGCTCCGCGCGAAGTCGCGGAAATGCTCAACTGCGCGTACGATTTCTGAAGTACAACGGGTGCGTGCGAAGATGCAAATATATTACGAAGGAAATAAGAGAAGGAACGATGATGACGATGACGACGATGACGACGATGAATTTCTTTTCGTTTCTTTGCGCGAAGAACGAAAATGATGCAAAAACAACGGCGACGGAGTT